ACACACGGCGGGCTAGAGTGAGCGGCGGCGGGTGTGCTTGCGTCAACCACATGTGACGACCCCGGGCTGGACTCCGCTTATATCATCCTCTTTTGGAAGACCAAACAAAGTAGTTTCGCTTTCACAAACGAAACACAGCACCTTCACGACATGGCGGCGGCAGCAACAATACTACAGCGAGAATAAAAGTTATGCCTTTTTTCTTTGCGTACACATTTGGGCAGCGTTATGCAAATCTTCCCACATAGTGACGTAGACATGTGGGGGCGTGTTAGAACGAGCCGTTTTAGGTAGGCGTGGTTGACTCTTAACTTTTATAAAGAATATCTCTTTGGATTTGAGACTTTAGTCTTTGCAACTTTACAGATCTTCTTTATGCACCAAGAGCTTGTAGCACTCCAAAGAGAAAGGAAAACTTGAAATCGCATCATATGACCCCTTTAAGAAATACCTGGTCTGTTGAATATTGAGGGAGTACTTTGATTATGGTTGCACTTAACAAATCTAAGAAAAAAACCGTGTGCTATATATTTTTGTTATTTATACTGTTTTTATGTTCAACTTGTGGGAAGGAGTTCAGTTAGGAGGTCAGAAGTTCTAGAAGCTCATAATTCATGTAGAGTTCTAAGGTCTGAAGAGACTCGTGTGAAATCATACAGGAGAGAAGCAGTCTGTGGCAAAACCTTTTACAGTGCTTGTATATTGTTGTCTTTTACTGCATATGATAATTCATACTCAGAACTGGAATGACATGCATTACAAGACGATTACTTAAAGCATTTCAAAATGCACCTGCAGACTATTTTTCCAGTCATGTACTGTATTTTGTCATTGAGGATTTCTTAAGAATACTGTGTAATAATCGTGTCTCGTCTCGTGAGCTAAGTGTCTCGTCACACCCCTAAAAAAATAAAATAAAATCAAAGAAGTTCCCATTGAATTAAACTTATATGTAATTTGTGAAATGTTTGGTGATTTTCCTGCATTCCAGCTTCAAGGGGTGGCCAGGTTTCTGAATGGCAGTCATGCTGAGAAAGATATTGATTTGAGAATCGTGGTGGAGGATGAGAACGATAATGCTCCTGTGTTTAACCTGACAACCGGAGCTGTTTATGAGCGAAGCGCAAGAGGTACTGCAATCATACATGATGCTTGAGACAATCAGGAAATCGGCTCAGTCATTTTCATTGTTCAAAGTGTTTGTAGTGTTAGCTGAATTAACTTACTAAATTAACAATTGCATTTTATTAGTAGCGGCTAAGCTACTGGAAATACATGCCTCTACCTACATTTCTGCAAAACTCAAAAAACAAATCTATATGTATGAATTGCTGCAGTTTAGAGTTGAAATGAACACTAGAGGCAGTAAAACTCTGACAACTTTTATTCCTTTTCACACAAAGTGTGATTTACAGGGCCAGAGATTCGATTAAGAAAGCCTTATTTTCACACAATATTATGTTTTGACTTCTGAACAATTTTAACATGCTGCCAGATTTGAAAACTGATACTTTTGAATGTTAGCGTCACATATACAGCTTCATATGGATGGGTTTTCAAATGCAGTAAGTTTGCTCAGTAGCTGACGTGATACAGTGTTGCACTTGAGAGATGAAGCACTGAAACTATGCAAAACACAGTAGGTTTACATTTGGGTTTGGTGTTGGAGGTTTGTTATTTTCCAACATGATAGAGCATTAACTTTTTAGCGACACTCAAGAACAAGAACACAAGTATACAGAAGATGCATGAAAGTCCCGGATGTGTTCTTGATATCAAGGATGCATGAGATGCAGACTTGAGAGAATCGAACCATTAGAAATCCCGGAAGACTGTACGGAAGGAAGCCTGTAACTATTCCTGCAAGCTCACAAATTTGTGAAGGCTCGTGAAAGTAAACATTTGTTTTGCATTATTTTAATAAACTGATAAAGACCTGGAGAAAGCCTGCAGTACTTTTATTGACATATAAAAAGAATCTTAACATTGACAAAGCAAAGGTAACAAATATACAAACTCGTTTTCACAAACACATACAGTAAAATAAAAAGATGTAAAATAATACGAAAAATAATGTCAATCCATAATAATATGAAATTATTTTGTTTTTTATAGTTTATGACATTTGTTTGTGATGTTATGTTGTATTTATTGTACTTTGGCCACTCCTTATAATTTGCTCGGACGGTCAGTTGAGCAACAAGATCACAGCGCATCTCAATTTCACAAAGTAGCCTAGCAAGTCCATTCTTTGCATTCTTAGAATTGAGAAACAGCCCTAATCTTTTAAAGTGAAACTAGGTGTGTGTGAGAAAAATAAGACTTGCACAATACTGAGTATGAATTTTGGACCATTCCTTAACTAACAAGAAACTATGATTAACGAATTAGGCAGTATAGGGCCCTATGAATTTTTTCCAAATTCCATATTTTTTTCCTGTTTACATTTTTCTAGACTCTGTTTTAATGGTTAAATTAAAAATATTAATCAAAAATCATGTCTAATTAATTAAAATCATGAAACTTACACAATGTAACAGCAATTTATTAATAGTTTAACAAAAAAATACATTTTTAAGGCCTTACAAAATACGTTCAATTTTTTTCTCAAATTCAGTTTTATTTTTTAACAAATTCTGTGTCCATGATCATGAGTATGTTCTTATACGTGCTATATGAGGTTAAAAAGAGTTTAAAAAAAAAGAGACAAAAACTCTTTATCCAGTGAGTTAGATGGACAAAAAAAAACATGCATGGTGAAATCTCCCACAATTAAAGGTTTATCATATTCTAGCATAATTCATTTTAAAGTGAAGATCATGGTACCCCACTAGTTATGACTCAAGTATTACCAAATCCTTCAGAAGAAATTGGTAATCATGTCGAACAGTTACAAAGACAATACATGGTTATTCCCTAGTAGTTCATGTAAGCTTTTGAGGTTTGTGTAAGATTTTGCGTAGTAATCTCTTTAGAATTTGGGATGGCTGATGACTAGAAATGTTTAGCAATAATGTGAAGCTAACCCAAATCATAAGTCTGATATTACTGGTTTAAGTAAGTGGTTAAATGTTAAAGTAGTGGTTAAAATGTTAAAGTTTATTTAACCTGTTATAGTTATAAATTAGTTTCACTTTAATTATGAAACTGTATAGTTTCTTAGTTTTCTTAGTGAAAATGTGTAGTTACTGAGTAGCTAATAGTGAACTATCGCATTCAACTGTGTGATATTACTTTCTAATTACTATAATAATTACAAATTTCTTGTTAGTTAATAGTAGTAACTAGAATATTAGTATTTTGTTACCCATTTGTTCGTTTGTAGTTATTCATTAATGATGGAACAGTATTCTGAAGTTTTAACCAAACAACGTTTCCGTTATGTATTTCAGGGTTATAGCTCTCTTCAGGTCATGCAAAGCATTTCAACCACGGTAAAATCAAGACTCTGGCTTGGTGTCACAATTCACTCGGGGAGCAAACGAGGAACGAGGAGTTCTTGAATAAATGTTACTTTCTCCAGCCTTCACTGTGAATGATTACTTAATGTCTTGCAAAAAAAATTGCAAAGTACATTTTTGGGGTTATTAGTTTATTCTATATTTGGGGTCTGCAGCGGAGCCCGTGTCTGTAACAATCTCAATTATTCATATCCGTATCTGTATTTGAATAAAACCGGAAGTAGGGCGAGGCTTTACCCAGAAGTCCGTACAATTACTTGAGAAAACTGAAAACCGTTATGTCCATGGTTTACAGCCTATCTTTTTTCTTCGTAATTATCACTGAACAAATATGCCTTGTGACCAGAGTTCGCGTCCTATAAGAGGAATATATACAACTCTGTGTGCTGAGTAATGTCAGGACAACCACAACCTCAAATAACAGGAGACTGACACTATAAATAGCAGATTAGGGAACATGGAGGTTGAAAAAAAAAAAAAAAACCTTTTACTATGCATACAAATGCAAATCTGAACAAATTATAAAGAACACTTGCATAAATGCCATCCCCGAGAGAGATAGAGAGTGAGACAGAGAAATATGTAGCCTATCATTGTCAGGGTTCTGGAATGTCTGTGTGTGTTTTGCTCCCCGTGACCCAGTTTCTACTCATGTTAATTGTGTTAATTTGATTGATTCCATGAACCTGTGTTCCCCTGACTGCCCTGTGTTTATTAGCCCCAGTCTGTGTAGTCTTCCTTTGTCGGTTCTACTTGTTGGATGTTGTGAAATTCCCCTGTCATTCCCAGGATTAAAGACTGTTTATGTACTCCACGTCTCCTTGTTCCTCGTTCCGCACTCCTCCTAGCACAGATCGTGACAGAAGAACTGACCAAAAAAAACAGTAACCTCCGTGTATCTACCCTCCGTTTTTGTTTCTGTGTTTTTTCCCTCAGTGTTTTGTTTCCGTTGTGTTCTATGGATCCCCTCCTTCGCCCCGAATTCCTCCTCCTCCTGCTGGGGAGCTCGCTCATAGACCATACCAGACTGTTTCTGGCCCTCGCCGAACTTACCAGCTTCCCGGTCGACGCTCTCTGCGCATTCTATGACGCTAGCCTGAACACCGCGGGCAGAGTGCCGTCGTCCGAAGATGGTCCTCGAGCGGAATTTGCCGCCTTCGTGGAGTGGACTCTAGCGAGAAATGGATCTCCGTTCCCCGCCTGTTCCCAGGAGAATCTCGCCAGTTCCACTCCCGACACAGTGCCCAGCGTCTCTCAAAGCACCCGCTCCTGCCTCCTCCTCCGCTGTCGTCTGGCAGCCCCTCTGCTCACCCTCAGCCCACCATCTAACTCTGCCGGCCTCCCTCGTCCCTCCGGCTCCGCCTTGGTCTGGTGTCGACCATCCTACGCCTCGGGACTCCATTCCTCTGGCTTCGCCTCGTACCTCCGGCTCCGTCAGGCTCCTCCATCCCCTCGGCTCCTCCTCAGTCCTCGGTCACTCCGGCTCCACTGCGGCCTCCTGGATCCACATCTTCGCGTCGGTCACCAGCACCATCTGCTCCGCCTAGGACGTCCGGATCCTCCCCGTCGCACTGGCTCATTGGCTCTCTGTCTCTGCCTCGGGCTCCTCCACCACCTGCTCCGCCGCCGTTGGTCGGACCCCTGGAGTTGGTCCTGCACCGTGGCTGAGGGTGAGCTGAGTATGGCGCGGCGTATGTGCCAAAACGAAGAGGAGAGGGCTCCAGCCCCCGAATCCAGTTCAGAGCGCCTTCCAGTGCCCGCTCCTAGAAAGCGCCCTCAAGTGTCCGCTCCTCCAGAGCGCAATCCTGTTCCCGTGTTCAGCCTAGAGGGGGCTCCTGATCCAGAGTTTAGTCCCGAATGCCCGGAGGCTCACAAATGCCCACCCTCCCACCTGCTCCTGCCTCCTCCGCTGTCGTCTGGCAGCCCCTCTGCTCACCCTCAGCCCACCATCTATGCGGTGCGAGCTCCGCGGGACTGCCATCCTCCAGCGTCACCATGGCTGGAGTTTCCCCGGAGGCTCACGAATGCCCGCCCTACCACCCACCCACTCCTGCCTCCTCCTCCGCTGTCGTCTGGCAGCCCCTCTGTCAGGCTCCTTCATCCCCTCGGCTCCTCCTCAGTCCTCGGTTGCTCCGGCTCCACTGCGGCCTCCTGGATCCACATCTTCGCGTCGGTCACCAGCACCATCTGCTCCGCCTAGGACGTCCGGATCCTCCCCGTCGCACTGGCTCATTGGCTCTCTGTCTCTGCCTCGGGCTCCTCCACCACCTGCTCCGCCGCCGTTGGTCGGACCCCTGGAGTTGGTGGCCATTCCTCCTCCATGGCTCCTCCCTCCGTCAGCTCCACCGTGGGTCGACATTATGGCTGTGGCCTGGGTCCCCCCCCTCTGTTGTTCTACGATGCGAGGACGCACCTTCCGGGAGGGGGGCGAATTGTCAGGGTTCTGGAATGTCTGTGTGTGTTTTGCTCCCCGTGACCCAGTTTCTCCTCGTGTTAATTTGATTGATTCCATGCACCTGTGTTCCCCTGACTGCCCTGTGTTTATTAGAGTCTGTGTAGTCTTCCTTTGTCGGTTCTACTTGTTGGATGTTGTGAAATTCCCCTGTCATTCCCAGGATTAAAGACTGTTTATGTACTCCACGTCTCCTTGTTCCTCATTCCGCGCGCCTCCTAGCACAGATCGTGACAGAAGAACCGACCCAAAAAAACAGTAACCTCCGTGTGTCTACCCTCCATTTTTGTTTTTTCCCTCAGTGTTTTGATTAAAGACTGTTTATTTACTCCACGTCTCCTTGTTCCTCGTTCTGCACTCCTCCTAGCACAGATCGTGACAATCATACAAAGTTTAAAACATTTAAATATCAAGCAGTCGTGATTATTAGGCTAGAGCTGGTTTGGTTTCTGAGAGATGTGCAGAGATGGAACGTGACTGTTTGATGTAACTCAAACCCCTTTATCTAAACCTCTCGCACATTTCAGTGTGGTCGCATGTCTGGCAGGTGTTTTATAATGGACACTCGCTGAAGAAGCCTGTTTTTATAGGAGTTTGCGATGGTCAGTGATGTTTGTATGGGCATCAACACTCACTCTGACAGAGAAACTGTTCACTGGTGATGATGAGTTGCCAAATTCAGAATGTGTTTATTTGCTTTTTAAATTTGTGTTTTGGTCTGTTTAATAATTCTGAATGGATCTGTTTATATTTATATACAGTCAGGTTAAGGCGACTGGAAGTTTGCTTACTATTCATCTTTGCTGATGAACTCTTGCCATGCTTTTTTTATGCAGTCATAATCGTAAAGACTATTGTTTTTAAAAGCCCAAACAACTGGGCTGTGAAGTCTACAGATGCTTCTACTAAATGCTTTAATGATTTGTCACTTTTGGACATTTTGTTGTTTTGGACAGCAACAAAAACATAAATAAAAGATCTAATCTAATTTCTTGATGTGCCTATTAATAAATCTAATTAATCGCAAATTAATCACACATCAATTTGGCTGAGAAATTCCTCCCCAAAAGACAATTTAAAGTCATGATTAAAAGCACCCCAGTTTTGAAGTGCAAAAAGCATTATTTGTGAATTTTGGCAATGTTCACTTCACAACTGATGTGCATAAGTTCAGATCAATGAGGCCTACATTGAAAAGATTGAATCCAATATAGCAAAACAAGAAATGTATAAGCTATTTTTTGTAGGCGTGTAATTTTTGACCAGGAACACAAGAAGTGTAAATTGATCAGTACAAAAATTATCAGTGTTTTTTGTCAGCAAAGTCAGTAAGTTTTAATTCAATATGACGACAATAACTTGCATTTTCTGGAAAAAGAAAATCATCTCGGAGTCAAAATGATGGATAAACAAACACAACAGTTAATCAGAAGCACATACCATAATCAGATCCTGCTTATATTCAACAATAATTGCCACTTGTTACATATAAGCACTTACCTGTTCTCACACGTTACCTTACTCACATGTTCTGTATTGCACATGTTTATGTTTCGATCATCAGAACATGCATTGGGAAGCAATGAATAACCGATTTTTTGAGGTTGTAAAGGCAGGAATCGTCATGCTTTGGGCATGTATGGGCTTTCACACAGATAAAGCCCACATTTTCATGCTCTGATGGCACTTTCATTCTAACGCTCATTTCACAACGGTTGCGTAAGCAGAGTGTATAAGAGCATTCAAATTCACTGGTTGATCCAGTCTGGTTAAATCAAGGGTCCAAAACTTTCAACCACATTCGGAAGTGGTCCATAATGCATCTGACCACATAGCAATAGTGTACAGTCCTGTCAATTAACCACTGCTTAAAATAAGGATTTAACCATTTAGCTCTAAAAACCCATCCAGTTTATATAACTGGAGAAACACATACAGTACATTTACAAGCACAAGACGTGCACAGATCATGTGAAGCATATCTCAAGTTCAGTTATTACTGGCACTCTAATAAATTAACTGACAATCCTGCCTAAAGTGTCACGTTTGGGCTCGGATTAAAATACAAGTATATTTGGAAGAAACTGCAGTTTTTTCAGACTTTTTCAATGCACAGTATCACACTACATATTGCGTTATGCATGCAATCACGAAACCAGAGACCGTCCTGTTGAAATCTGATCGCAGGTTAGTGCCGCGTGTAAATGCTGATGTGTCAAAACAAACAGCATATTACAGAGGTGGAACTGAAGTTTTTTGCAAGCAACATATCAATTATAATTATTTTGTTACGTTATAATAGATGTTTTGTCAGTCACAATTTTAGAGGGTTCTTAAAAGTGTGCAGTGGCCTTTTCACCCTGTCTCATGAGCGTAGAATACGTGGGGCACTTTTAATAAAATGTAAATTAGTCCACTGCACTTTTTCACTGGACATGGTTTTCATGGGGCAATGTGTATGCATAAATCTAGACTCAAAAATCAAAGAGACAGGATAATCTATACAGTATGTGACCTGACATGCATGAAAACTGGTCACATTCTACACTGCTGTTCAAAAGTTTGGAATCAGTAAGATTTTTAATGCTTTTAAAGAAATATCTTCTGTTCATCAAGGCTGCATTTATTTGACCAAAAATACATAAAAAACTGTAATATTGTAAAATATTATTACCATTTAAAATAATGGTTTCGGTTTTAAAATACTTTAAAATATAATTTATACCTGTGATGCAAAGCTGAATTTTCATCATCATTACTCCAGTCTTCAGTGTCACATGATCCTTCAGAAATCATTCTAATATGCTGAATCTGATTTATTATCAATGTTGGAAACAGTTTTGCTTCCATCAAAACTTGTGGTGACATTTCTGCAAACTGATATTAAATTGTGTGTTTCATCTAGAGTCTAGTCAGTGGTGCTAAAAGCGTGTTCAGTTTTATCTGAAACAGATGAAAGTAATGTAACAACGATTTTGTTTGTTGTTGTATGTGGCACTTTGGAAGATGAAATGTTGGGGGAGTGGCGCTAAAAGGTTAATGCTCTGTTGCATCTGAAAATAACACACCTACACTAAACCTATAACGTTAATAAAAACAAACGAGATAAAAACACTTTGCTAAAGCAAACATGCCACTTTAGCTTGCTTTGACAAGTCTTTGAGCTCTTTTATTGTGACTCGGACCTGAACGTTCCACATCACAAGTACAATGCTGTACCAAGTGAACAAGAAGAGCAAGATTAATACAGACAAATGGAGCTGTTTATGCGATGTAAATGTGTATTAAAATCCACGCACTAAGGTAAAAGTGTTTTGAGGTCCAAACATAGCATTGTGCAATGAACTGTGCAAAAATAAGCCAATAATAAGCTGTCCCGTTATCATAATTTATGTGAAAAGGCATAAATGTTATTAGTGGTTTACTGCCGCTAATGTTCATTTTAGCTGTGAATTGTGAAATGCAGTGAATTGTATGTTTGTGCTATTGTGTTGTCCTTGATTTTTCAGACACGTTTGCAAAGACCATCACAGCAACAGATGCAGATCAGCAAGGAACTCTGCATACAAAAATCGCCTACAGCATTGCTGAACAGCATCCTGATAACATGTTCTACATTAATCGAGAGACCGGTGGGATACACGTCATGCACAACAAGCTCGACAGAGAGGTATGCAGTCGCTGACATCGAGTCAAATTAAATTCACGTTTAAATTGTTGCTGCACTTGCAATTTGTAATTAATTTAGCTTGAATCGCTTAATGTACAGACTACTTTCACATTTTGTTTTGTAGTTAATTTCAGCCCTATTTTTTTTTTTAATCAAATTTATTCATTCAAATTTAAGATTAAAGATTGAAAAATTCCCATTTACTGACATTCCAAACATTGATTTCTTCTATTTTTCTGGATAATTTTACCACAGATTGATTGATTGATTGATTGATTGATTGATTGATTGATTGATTGATTGATGCATTGCACGCATTTTTTTTTTTTCAGGAAATACAAATATAGTTTTTACAGAAACATAATTGATGTTGCACAATGTTTTGCAGGTTATTGTTGACTGATTCTGCCAGATTTGCACATTATGATTAATGTGTCACACTTTATTATAAGGTCCAATTCTCACTATTAGCTACAACTTTTGCCTCAATAAACTCCTAATTTGCTACATATTAATAGTAAGGCAGTTGTCAAGTTTAGGTATTGGGTAGTGTTACAGATCTAAAATATGATCATGCAGAATAAAGCATTAATATGTGTTTTATAAATACTAATAAACAGCCAATATGCTAGTAATATGCATGCTAATAAGCAACTGAGTGAGAACTGGTCTCTAAACTAAAGTGTTACCAATCCTAATTGCATTGCACATTTACTTGCACCTGTGACTGATGTTTGTGCTTTTCTCATCACAGAAACAAGACACATACACGTTGATTATTAAAGGGACTGATATGAACGGAGCTGCGAATGGAAATACAGGAACAGGGACAGCTGTCATAAAGATTCTTGATGTCAATGACAACATCCCTACTTTGGAGAAAAACTTTGTAAGATTTTATTATACCAAAAAATACCAAAGGACTTGTTGAGACCTCATGAGTTGTTGGGAACATTTCTATGCACATATTTGTAAAACACGTGCATTATATTTGATATTACACATTTAATGGATATGAAATGTTTTGTAATTTAAGCTTATTAAAGTGAAATCACTTTGTTTGGTTTTAGTACGAGTGCAGTGTGGAGGAAAACACTCGAAACGTGCAAGTGGTGAGAATTGAAGTGACGGACGAGGATCTGATCTATACTGAAAACTGGCTGGCTGTCTTTACAATCGTGTCAGGAAACGAAGCCGGTTATTTCTCCATAATCACAGACGACAAGACCAACGAAGGCATCCTGATTCTCAATAAGGTAGACTGATTAGTCTGTAATTTCTTCTCTTTTGCCTTTTCAAACAGTGCTTTGTTTTCTCTTGCACACCTGCTGTCAGACTGACTATAGTTTTAGCTGCACCATCTTTCAAAAGCCTGACTGCAATATCCTTCAACAGCGTCTTTGCAAAACCTGCATTACATTCTGACAGATGTAAAACAAACAGTCTGCACTGAGATGTGCAGTGTGTTCATAGCAGAAAGATGTTTTTCTAACAACACACGCGATTCACACTGTGTGAGAAGAAGAGAGAGTAAAAGGTGTTATTTTAGTATCATTGAGACAATATGATTGTTTTTGTTAATATTTTAAAAATAATTTATTTTTATATATTCTGCTTTCATGTTAACTTTAGTTAAAGTTTTAGTAATTTTGTTGTGTGTTAAATATGTTTGTTGTTTTTAAATGTCTGTATAGTTTTTATTCATTTTTTATTTCGGTTTTAGTTATTGTACATCTAGTGCATCAAACTAAACAAAAATTAGAAATGTTGCCTTGGAAACTGGCTGAAATTAAAAAAAAAGTTTTTTATATTTTATTTTATTTCAGTTAATATTCATTTCAAGTAATGATTTTTTAAATACAATTTTATTATTATTATTATTATTTAGTTAACTAAAGTACATTAGGGGAAACTAAAGTACAACAGGGGAAATGAAAATTAATATGTTGGAACTCAATCAAATATTTGGATTTTTTTCCCCATTTACAATTTTTAACTTTTTTGATAACACATATTTCAGTTGTGGATTATTTTCCACACTCTTGTCTCCTGCATCAGCGAGTTAACCATTAATTTCTCCACATTAAATCATTCCTTTTGTTTGCTCTCTATGTGTTTTCTCATTAGTTCTCATTTCTTTTTTTTTTGTTGTTGTTGATTATCATCTTGTTATTTCTCATTTGAACGTATGTGATTAAGACTACACTGAGTTTCAGGAATGGTCTGAAATTAGGTTTTATGTTAATTTCAAATCAATGTTATAAATATTGTGAATCTGGGGCTGTACCTTTTCAAAAGATACACTTTTGTACTTTATTTACACCTTTATTTACACATTTTAAATGACAGATTATGGAAACTTAAGTTAAGGAGACAGTTCAGATGCTGCTGTAAAGCAGCTCAGAAAGAGTAGTGTCATTATTTAGCTCAAGTCAGTTCAGTGTTGGTTCAGTTCAGAACAACAGCAGTGTGAACTTCATCGATTTGAAACAAGTTCAGTTCAGCAGTAAGCAGCTCTACAAAAGGAAGCAATGTTGTTCATTATTCAGCTCGAGTCAGTTCAACAGTTCAAGGGAAACGAGTAAAAGATCTATTATCTTATGGGAAGAGACCATTGTTGATTTTTGTTATTGCATGTGTGTAGAAACTATTGTACATCTCTTTTAATTTAATATCTGATTTATTGTCTGCAATGCACACCTGAACCCATTTACAAATGGGATGCTCAGATTGTTAATATCAGACTGAAATGGTCAGGGATATTGTTGAAAATTAACTTTAGCTGCTGTTTTCTAACATTAGATGAAGAGGGTTTATAATACCTGCATAGTTAACTCTGTTGGCATTGCCTTTTCTCAATGCCAGTTACTCAGCTTGTGCAAGTCTTGAAATATGCTTATGGGGCCAAATACTCTGCTTGCAAACGTTCAATCACTGGACAACAATCTCTGCAAGCTAAGGACACTGGTCTTGTTCCAGCACAAAATAAATCCGCTTCAGAGAAACTTGTGGAGGAACCTGCTGTGGTTCTCCATGCATATTGTGCACATTCTGTCATGTTGTTTTGCTCCCCTGATCTGGAATATCTAATGCTACTGTGTTGGCTATTCTGCCTAGCGAGGGAATTCACAGCTGTCCTTATCCCAGCTGTGTACCAGGCACTGAAAGAACTCTACGGGTATCTGACCAAGCAGAAAACACTACCCTGAGGCTCAACTTAATATTGTCTGTGTTCGTTTGAGGGAAACAACATCGCCTTCACAGGAGTTAAAGAGATAGTTCAGCCAAAAAAGAAAATTTTCTCGCCCTCCAATTGTTTCAAATCATATGAGTTTGTTGAACACAAAAAAATATATTTTGAAGAATGTTAGTAACCAAACAGTTGACAGTAGCCATTGAATTCTAGTATTTTTTTTTTTCCAATCAAGGGTGAGTAAATGTTGACAGGTTTTTCATTTTTGGGTGAACTGTCCCTTTAAATACACTGTCTGCAGGTCCAAATGGCATTCTGGGCCATGTGTGTTCAGCAGGGTCAGAAATGAACTTTTCCATTAAGAGGCAAAAATTGATTGCTCTTGATATTGTAGTAACGATTATTAATGCCGATAAATAGAGTACATATAAAACTTTTTTGTGTTTTATGTCTGCGTTTTGGGGAAATGGCTCGTCATATATTCTTGCTCTGGCTTCACAAACATGTCGGTTCATGACATTAGTCTAGTCTAGTGCAAGTTATGCAAAATCTCCTGTTATAATCGCTGAAGCTACGAAATGAATCTTTTATTTACATCGTGTCTGCACTGTGTTGTTTATGATGAAGGAATTCACAAGCAGTGAGCGTGCACACTCAACAACAACTCCGAAGTTTTCAGCGCTGACTAATCTAAGCATCTCTGATTGGCCATTGCATTCCTAAGTTAAATGGAAATGCATGTGATTGGCTATAAGGCTCAACAACAAAAAAAACAATCTGAATGTAAAAAGCAATCTGATGCAGTGTGAGCGAATCAAAATGTAATTCCGTGAATAGACATTTTTCATTCATTTTCACATGTCTTTTTAATTGCAACAGCCATAATTGCAGGGGCAATTTTTGCCCCTTTATCTTCAATTTGATGAGCATTTGTGTTTATATTGGTGGCATTTTTGCCACAAGCCCCATTAATTTCCAACCCTGGTGTTCGGAGAATTCATAGACCAATTAGTGCAAGTTTTCACTGACATTTTCAATCTTTGTTGTTTGCACGTTTTAAAACCATGCCAAAGCAACCAAAATAAACATACTTAACCCTCATAATGTACTCAAAATCTGTGTATTATTTTCTCATTCCGGGCTCACTTGGACCCCAAGAATTGTTATTTTATAAAACATTCATAGCTTAATATTTTTCCATCTAAAACCCTTTTGTATCTTATCAACAACTTCTCATTGAGTGAATGTGAAAAAAAAAGTTTTGAAAGTTACCATGTTACACATAAACCACACAAAAACTGAAGGCTAGACAAATTCATTTTACTTATTTACTTACATAAACTTTCAGTTTCAGATTAAAAAAGTGATTAGTTTGTCATGCTGCAATGGACCGTCAAGATGTACATAGTCATGTATATCAACAAAATTTAGTCCTAGAAGTGTGAGAGATATGGGGAAAAGCCTAAATAGATTTTACAAAAGTTTTTGACACTAACCTAACTCCATAGATAATTTTACAAAAAGTATTTTGACACCTAATGGTAATCCATAATGACCCGGACACGAAACTTGTCATATTTTATGACAATTAATCAGTCTCAGAAATAATCTCAGTTCAGTGTATAATATCATTATTTCATAAGCAAAGATGTTACTCAATCATAGCAGTGGGCGATTATATTTAAGGATTAAAAGAAACACGGCCCTTTAAATGGAGTGTTGAAAACAAAAGGTGTAGGAAATGACCATTTATTTCTAAATTATGACTACTTTTGATGTAAACATCTTTATAAATGGACCTCAGGGAGCAGGAATAAATGTGTGTGTGTGTGTGTGTGTGTGTGTGTGTGTGTGTGTGTTTGATACTTCAAATGTTCAGCAGTAAGTCTCCTACAAAATGTTCAGCAGGAAGTCTCCTACATTCCTGCTTTTCACCCTTTGTTTATCTTTAAAGGAGCTGGACTATGAAGAGCTGAAGGAAATCAGCATGCAGGTGTCTGTCGCTAACAAGGCAGAGTATCACCCTTCAGTAGTTGTAACAGAGAGCAAGACGTACACCGTCCACGTCAGTGTGATCAACCAGCCTGAGGGCCCTCGCTTCAAACCCGCCGTCAAAGTCATCACCATCTCTGAAGAAAGCTCCAGCACTACTTTAAATAAAGTTATAACAAATTACGCAGCAATAGACAGCGACACGCTATTAACTGCTCATGACGTCAGGTGAGACTACAGAAACGGTTCAAACATTACACAAGAATGTGTTTTTGATCAGATCTTGTAATAAAATAATCATTATTTTAGGTATGCAAAAGGACAAGACGTTGACAACTGGCTGATTATAGATGAGTTTTCACTGACATTTTCAATCTTTGTTGTTTGCACGTTTTAAAACCATGCCAAAGCAACCAAAATAAACATACTTAACCCTCATAATGTACTCAAAATCTGTGTATTATTTTCTCATTCCGGGCTCACTTGGACCCCAAGAATTGTTATTTTATAAAACATTCATAGCTTAATATTTTTCCATCTAAAACCCTTTTGTATCTTATCAACAACTTCTCATTGAGTGAATGTGAAAAAAAAAGTTTTGAAAGTTACCATGTTACACATAAACCACACAAAAACTGAAGGCTAGACAAATTCATTTTACTTATTTACTTACATAAACTTTCAGTTTCAGATTAAAAAAGTGATTAGTTTGTCATGCTGCAATGGACCGTCAAGATGTACATAGTCATGTATATCAACAAAATTTAGTCCTAGAAGTGTGAGAGATATGGGGAAAAGCCTAAATAGATTTTACAAAAGTTTTTGACACTAACCTAACTCCATAGATAATTTTACAAAAAGTATTTTGACACCTAATGGTAATCCATAATGACCCGGACACGAAACGTGTCATATTTTATGACAATTAATCAGTCTCAGAAATAATCTCAGTTCAGTGTATAATATCATTATTTCATAAGCAAAGATGTTACTCAATCATAGCAGTGGGCGATTATATTTAAGGATTAAAAGAAACACGGCCCTTTAATTACGCAGCAATAGACAGCGACACGCTATTAACTGCTCATGACGTCAGGTGAGACTACAGAAACGGTTCAAACATTACACAAGAATGTGTTTTTGATCAGATCTTGTAATAAAATAATCATTATTTTAGGTATGCAAAAGGACAAGACGTTGACAACTGGCTGATTATAGATGAGAGGACGGCTGATATAAGACTCAATAAAATACCAGATTATGAGTCCAAGTTTCTGGTCAATGGCACATATTACGCTCAGATAATCTGCATCACTAATGGTAAGTGACCCTACATTTTATGATATGCAGTGCTGTAGTAACTGAGTACATGTAATCTGGATTACATAATCAGTTTCCAAAAATTAAGTACTTGTAATTAGATTACATTACATTTTAAAATGCTCATAGATTACAGTTACTTTTTTATGGATTACATAGTATTCACAAAATGGCTGTAAATTATTCATAATTTATTGTTTCACCCCAGTTCTCTTTTCTTTAAAATTTTCCTTTCTGAATGAATCTATCTCTTATATACACGAGACTAATATTTATGCGAACTAAACACTGCCAATGCATAGCTGTGAAATACATGGTCTTCATCATATCTTCACTAATTATTAATATCGGAAGTCTGGACAAAAATATTTAAAACCTGGAAGACTTTGGGCATGTACTGTCATGCTTTCATGTTTAATAATGTTTGTTTATGTATTGTAGGGATTCCTAAGCTTTTGACATTTTTACGCTTTCATTAATTATTAGCTTTTCGTGAACGTCCTACAGTTTTTTTTTTTCCAAGAACCCCAGTCTAGGAAATGATATTCATAACAAAAAAATTTAATATATTTTATTTCTCTCTTTTTTTATCAACTTGGTACACAATAATCACATTAAAGTCTGTGTAAATGAGTTAGCTCAAAAGTAATCAGATTATGTTACTAACTACAGTTTTCATCATGTAAATTGTTATCAGTAACGGAGTAATCTACCCAGCACTGATGATTAGAATTTGCAAAGTTTATTATTATAAGCACTTCTAAAAAACCAAAAGAGTTTCAAAATATATCGTTTTATGAATTGCAATTGGATTTAAAGTTGAAGGAGGAATATCTCACTTCTGTTACAGATGCTCCGTCTAAAACTGCAACAGGAACCATTGCCATTCAAGTAAAGGACTTTAATGACCACTGTCCTGTGCTGAGCCGTCAGTCTCAAACGCTGTGCTATGAGGATCACGTGGTTTATGTCACGGCTGTGGACAAAGATCATTTCCCCAATGGATCACCCTTTGGTTTCAAAGTGGACACCATAAGCACAAAGGAGTCATGGAGCATCGAACCTCTCAATGGTAATTAATTGTAACTTCTTGTGGCTACATCATATTAACTTGTGGGCATGGCATAGATTGATGAAGCCAAGATATATGACCTCATGGGGATGTGATATTATGTCATGGTCATGAGATATTAGAGAATAACTGAGAAATGCATTGACATCAGTATATGGTGCATAAGGGCTTGACTCATATATCTACATTGTCCCATATTTTTCAATGCAGAAGTAAGCTGTTTTCTGTGAATGTGCGAGACTTCTGATTCATTAGCCTTTGTAGGGAAATAACGAGAAGAATAACAAAGTGCAATAAACGGTAAAACTGTTTGTGCTACAATAGCACAATGTTAAAATAATATGGTAAGACACACCAGTTTGCAATATCAAGAAACAAAAACAAGCTGTTTTGTACAGATAAAAATAACTGGAAGCGGATGAGACCGGAAGCCAGACATATTAAATTTACGAAAGGTCGCACGGGAAAAAATAAGATGCATATGTTACAACATTTAAAAAAGCTTAATAGACTAACTAGACCCACCTGGAAACAATCAAGGACAGACTACAAACTAAAAGTCCACATAACAAAACAAAAGCACAAGGAGCATGTTAGACTAGTGAACAAGTAACTGACAGTATCCTTGTGCATCCAGAAATATTGGTGGAAGTGTCCGGGATGCATAAGAATGACCTTTTAATGCATTTTGCATGACTTAATGCTGCACTTTAATGCGTCTTTTGTTTTACTAACATCTGCTCCAGAAAATTGGAGAACTTGAGACACATCGACATTGAAAGGTCCGAACCGGTCATGCATCATGTCATCTTCTTTAACGTTATATTTTCAGACACTACAGCGATATTCAGATCTCAAAAAACACTGTGGCCCGGCGTGTACCATGTGTTTGTGGACGTGTGGGACCAGCAGGGGAAGATCTGCGCTGCTCAGGAGCTTCAGGTAAACGTCTGCACATGTGACGCTTCTAAAGTTTGCCTGCCCAGAAAAACCGTCTCTACGTTTGGAGCATCTGGTGTTCTTCTGATGCTGCTGGGACTGCTGCTGCTGCTCTGTGAGTAAAACACTGGATCTCTCTCTTGCTGTAAGGATGTGCTGTTTGACAAAATGTGACCCTGGAGCACAAAACCAGTCATAACGGTCAAGTTTTTTAAATGGAGATTTATATATCATATGAAAGCTGAATAAATAAGCTTTCCATTGATGTATGGTTTGTTAGGATCAGACAATATTTGGCTGAGATACAACTATATGAAAATCTGGAATCTGAGGGTGCAAAAAAATCTAAATATTGAGAAAATCGCCTTTAAAGTTGTTTAAATGAAGTTCTTAGCAATGCATATTACTGATGATGATACATTTTTGATATATTTACGGTAGGAAATTTACAAAATATCTTCATGGAACATGATCTTTACTTAATATCCTAATGATTTTTGGTATTAAAGAAAAATCGATAATTTTGACCCATACAGTGTATTGTTGGTTATTGCTACAAATATACCCCAGCGACTTAAGACTGCTTTTGTGCTCCAGGGTCACAAATAGAAATGCTTGCATTATAAAATTAAAATATGTATGTTTTCCTAGAAATGCATTTTTCACTACTTTAAAATAGCGTTACTGGCTGATGTTCTCAACTAATCGTCATCGTCTGTTATGTTTATGATCATTTGTTTTATTATTGAGTATGATATTTTTATTGCAGCTCTAACCATACGGTATTTTTTTTTTTCAAATAGATTTTTAAATAGATTTTAAAAATATACAAAAATGGCCAAACATATATATATATGCTATAATGTTTCAAAATATATTTACATTAAAGGGGTCATATGATGTTGCTAAAAA